ATCATAGCAAAACAACAATCATTAACCACTATTATTAATAACAATTATCATAGTGTGTTTTACAAATTTAAATGTATTGATACCCGACAATAAGAAATTGATTGTATAGTTATAAAACATATGTGTAGTAGGTAAGGCATATAGATCTATTCATTATGGATAGTTTTAATGTTGTAATAATATACATTATACGTCTCCTAAAACAGTAAAAACGTGGAAACTTCGGAAGTTTTTAAGGTTGTTCAAAACTGCTTGAATATGGAGTGGGCAAACTGTGTATTATTAATCAACATTCATATAGGCGTCCAGAATATATCAGGCTGCATTATTATGTGGGATACTGGTATGCCATCGCCATGTATAGTGTATAGAGGTCATTTTATTTCCACGTTAATTAATTTTTATTACATTAATTCGTAGATACCCATTTAATAATATACATAAATATGTATTTCGAACTGTTGAATTTTATTTTTCATCTAAAAAGAGCAATTATATAAACGCCAAAAAGGTAATCAATAAGCATTATTCATATACTCGTAACATAACATATTATATTCGATATTTTTTAAGCGTGGTTAATACATATTAATATTATGCAATTAAAATATCTGTCACAATTTTTATTACAGTTCAATTGCTGTGGTATATAATGTATATTATGTTCGACCACTAAGTCAACATGTACATAATATATTAATATAAACATCCCGCGGTGGCGTTTATAACGTCATCCCACACACTATTAAACACCCGTTCTGAGTCAAAAATCAATAATCTACTAGTAAGTTATTATAGGAACGCACACGAAATTTATTAAACATGGTGTGAATATCGAGCCACAACAGAACTTTAGGTAATAATAATTAAACGTTTATAGTAATAATCATTACTATAGTGAAACTTCCGTGGCATCCAAAATAAATTCGTATTGTAGAGAAATTTGCTACATACATATAATCAAATGAATTTGGTTCAAATTTGGTTATGGTTCTTAATAATATTTCATTTTATAGAAAAGATCGTCAAACGGAAGATCGTTATATTATATTGAAGTTGTACTGTAATGTAATATTGTACTCATTGATGATAATTATAAGTTTTTAAAAGTTAAATCAACTTTAACAATTTAGGTATACAACGTCTATACCTACTTTATATACCACGGTTTAAACCATCCCTACATCGACTACATCACACTTTGCTATAAAGTCTACAATAGAGTTTATTTTAAACGGTAATTTCGTATTTTGCAGTTCTTCTATTGTAGATCATAATATCAGTTTTGTTCAGGACTGAGAAGTAGGAGTACAGGGCCAACATATTATTACAACGTTCTCAATATATATTTATAGAACATACTATCCAGTGATTAATTTATCGAAGAAAACTCAATATTTCAAAAACTATTAATGTTTTTAAAACTATGTTTTTGCATAATTACAAACCGTTATACAAACAAAAATATTTTTTTACTTCATCGTTATTATTTTCAAGTTTAAACTTTTTAAATTTACAGTAAACATTTTTATGTATGTATTTATTTCATACTCCGAAACAGAATATTATTTGGAGTAGTTCGATGCATCAAATCCAAAATCAAATTTTGGACGGATATTTAATTAGATAGTTTAAACTTTAAAGTATTAACTAAAGTTTATGTGAGCGGAGTAGTGGAAAAATACATTTTGCGGGGTGGAATGCCCCTGAGTGGTATTGCCACTTACTCTGCGCATCAAAACTTTAAATATACTTATAAGAGTTATAACTATAATAAGCTAACCAACCGAAATTCAATTTTTATGTTACGAAGTTCTTCAAAAAATATTAAGCTTTGGAATAAGGATAAGGAATATTCATTAAAAAAAAAGTTAAAAACTCTTCTTTTAATGCGTCTATCATTAGACACATTATTTACATTAATATAAGTGCAGTCATAACAGATAGGTACCTATTTAATTTTAAAATTCAAAGACAAAATACATTGCGATTTGTTGAGAACAACACACACTTGTTGTTGCCCCTTTTCATCTAATGACTTGGTGAAAGTTTCCTTTGACGGGCAGTGATTAAAACTGGCTGTTAAAAATTACAACAGTCTAAAATAAGATTAAAAAAAAAATATGTTGCCTAATATTTTACCATTATAAATTTTAATATATACGTACTCGATAGCTTACTATAATAATAATATGCGTCAGTAGCCAGTAGAACTGCCTTATGATTTGGATATTGTATAATCAATATTTTTTGTTAAAAATATTTATCTGGAGTATAAAATATTGGCCGGTAATAACAAATTTGGGTCACTTCATTTGCTATGCTGCAGTGGCGACTAGAGTCTGCGCATGTTGCAGATGGAAGTATGGAATACTGCGCAAGTTTGTATGTTCAACTGCATCGTGTCGTCTCAGGTCCAAACAAATCGTCGTCACTCCTGATCTCCATTTACCCTACATTCCGCAGCAGTGATTTCGTAAATTATTTCCTTTTTAATAATTAATAATAAATTATGATATAGTGGTCCCTTCGTCCGACTTCTTAATTCAACGGTATTGTATACGTACCAATAGAAATACAGTTAATAAATTCATACTTATACATTTTAATAAATCATAATTTATAACAATAATTATAACAGTCAACAGTGTATCATAAATAATAGAATATTATGATACATATTACTATGAAATGCGAATCGAAATATTATAATCATAAAAAACTAATATCGTCTTTGTCACTACAAAGCACCTATGATTCCAATTTAAGAAAAAGTTATTTAGTGACAAATGTATTTAACCTTAGATATACTTCGTACGATTTAATAATTATAATATTAATCCACATACTTAATATAACCAAAGATTTAAAAAAACCAATATCATTATAACAAATTCTCATACTGTTCACGAACGGTTACAATACTATGGCGAGGTCACATCACTAATAATTGGGCATTAGGTAAACCAATAAAACGTTCGTGCAAAATAAAATAAATATAAGTACCTACATGGTTACACGTCATGTAGGTACTAGGTACCTATATTAGATGCATGTATACTCGTACACTACGAGTTTGCGGCAGTATTTCGTTTCACGATTTTTGAGATTTCATCACGAAACGTACCTATATTATATTAAATTTTTAGCTCGTGTTAGGTTTATATATTGTTCGTCCTATTTATTCGTATCTATACGATTATTTTATTTGAATTGTGTATACATATAGAAAACACGTCTCGCGGGCATTTCGACTTTTCTACTTCTGCAACATCAATTAAAGAAATCATTATAATATGTTATCGACGTTCCACCTATATAATAATATAGTATATTAATATCTTGGTAATAAAAGGAGCAATAGGATTTAGGTACATTATTAACAATTTTTCGACACAATATGATCTTTCAACACAGTGTCTGATTCGTACAACAGTAGCTGAGCATTCGAATAATATAGATATTTTATTTTACAATTTTAATATTTCTTAGTAATATTAAGTGCATTACGAGGCATTATTTTGTAGTTTGTTTGAATATAATAAAAAAAATTTTGCTGGCTCAAAAACTTTGGGAAATTAAGTCGAGTTTTCTTATGTGTTGTTCATATACCATTTAAAAAACATCAAAATTACATAGTCACACAATTTTGTTCGTAAGCATTAATTAAGACTTAGAAAGTTGTCAACATCGAGATAATTTATGAATTATTTTGTAGTTAGAAATTTATAAAAATGTTTCTTTCTATATCTAACATTTAATAATTGAATAAAAAATTCATCATACGTTTCTCTACCTTTAACAAGAAAAAAAGTTTTTTAGGAAGTCAAATTAATTTTTGATAAGCCTTTGAAATTAAAATATTTATAACATTAAAAATTCACCCTGAAAATAACCATTTTCTTATTTTGATACAGCTCAAAAACAAAAAAACCGTATATACTTAACATTTTCACCAAATTTTTATTTCATAATTTTCTACGCGTGATAATTTTTTTTAAATATTTGGTCTTTTTGAGTTTTCCTTTTATAAGCATTTAAAATTAAAATTTGAACAAAATACATCAAAATCTAGAAAATTTGTAAATTATTTTGTAGTTAAAAATGTATAAAATGTGCAACTATTGAAGCTTAAGATCGAAAATTAAAACAAGGTTTATCATAATTCATAAGTCATTCATACTGCAACCAAAATTCAAAAAATTATTTAACGCCAGTCTTTTTTAACAGATATTTTATGTTCAAAATTTGTGAAATCGGATACTGAAACACCGGAGAATAACGATTTTAGTTAATATCTTAATTTAAAAATATAATTACAGTACGGGCTAACGCAGACCGTCTTCGTTCAAATTTATTGTTCGTGTACAATGATTTTGTATAGGTAATTGAATTGAAATTTAACAGATGCACATCCATTACAGTGACCCACACAATAGCACCTACAGTACAACGGAGCGGTACCCACCTGTCCACCTTTTTTAAATTACAAGTCTATTAGATGACGTATGATGTTGGAGTTTTAAATATAATAATATTAAAGTAAAAATCAGCGACCAATTACTATAACAATAATATTACAGTTTTCGTATTTATCACTTGTTACGCGATTGATTGATATTAAACATGCAAAACATTATCATGGATGGCATAATATTATTATATCTTCTAATTTGTATTAGTTTAATTTCGGAATCGCGAACAAAATATCTGAATATAGTTTTCGGAACATAATGATACCGCAATACAAGGATACGCCACATTAGCAGTGTTCACACGTTTCCAAGTCTTAATAATATTATAAAACGCTGTCATTATTTTCGAATTTGATGTCTTGTTGTTGCCATTATCGGAGCGGGAGTCGCGTGCGGTCAGTCATTTACGCGCGCGTGTACACCTCGATAAAAGTCGAAACACGCCGATCGACATCATCATTGCGCCTGGCCGTACGCCACGGATACGGCGCATGTGCTCTCTATCACTCCCCTGCATATTATACGTTCGCCGCCGTGGTGCCCGTTTGTTTCCGTAATTCGCCCGAGACGAGGCGTCCGACGTTCGCCTCGGAGCTCGCTCTTGTTTGTTTATTTTTTTGTTTTTTTTTTTTTTTACGTTTTTTTTTCCACCCCGCCGCGAAGAGTGACCCTTTTTGATCGACTTCAAACGAAAATTCATGTAAAAAAAAAAAAAAACAAAAATTTGAAAGCAACACCGCAAAAACCCGAACGGTCGCCATACAGGAAACAGGAATACATTTTTTGACTGTTGTCGTACACCGTATGATATGATATTAATATTAACCGCCGAAACTTTATTATAATATTTCATATTATTATGGTCGATTTATCGCGGACGTGTGCTAGTGTGAGCGTCTTAAAAACGGCCTTATTATATTATGTAGATGTATAGGTAAGTCGGCCTGATTGTACATATATATATATATATATATATATATACATGTATATGTGATAACTGCGGAGTCGTCCAACACCCATATCGCGATGTGATGACAACTGTGAAACGAAAAGCGTCATTATAACTTTAAGTGAGTAATACAAGTTTATTATATTGTATGGTTGTGGCAATACATATTACGGTATTATGTTGCAAAATACATTAATTACATATTTTAAATATTTATTATTATTATCATTTATTGGTGTTATTCGAAAGCGATATTATATAATAATTAATATTTATTTTCTATATATTCTACTCGTTGTTCTACTTTTGCAATCGTATGTGTCGTGGGCGACGACAATTTTTCCGCAAAATACAGTATATTAATTATTATCTCTGGGCTCGGACGATGTCTCGGTGAGCAGACGAAATTATTAAACGTAAACGATCGAATCGCCACGAATTTCCGGGGCGCCCACAACGACATTATAATTCTTTTCCCTTAACGTAAACAATATTATCATGTCGGTTTCGGCATGATCGGTATGAAAATCCGTGGGGTCGTATCGCGTGCGGCGATATTGGTGGGGTACGCCGAAAAAGTGTAAGCGTCCGTATCCGCGCATAACGGCGATAATAACAATATTATAGTAATATAACGACCATACTTAACGTGACGTTTTGTAAATTAAAAATTATATACATTTTATTACGGTGTAACAAGTTATTATTACGTAAGCGTTTCGTGGGTTGTATTTTAGAACACACACACACACACCCGCACACACAACACGTCAACACACACACACACACACACACACACACACACACACACACACACACACACACACACACACACACACACACACACACCGGTGACGGTGGGCGGCGGGATCGCGTGCGAAGGGATTCCCGTGGTTTCCGTTGCGCGCGGAGGGAGGGATCAATACGTGCGAAGAGGGAACCGGCGGCGGCGGCGGCGGCGGTGACGTCAAGTCACGCGCTTCCCGTGACGTCATGATACCGACGCCACCGTGACCCGGTCACCGGAATGAATAATGATCGGCGCAGACGGCGGCCGTTTTTACCGTGCGTGCGTGCATCATACATCATGTACCTGCACGCTTTGGATGTTAGGTAGTGGTAGTTGTTGTGGTCGTTGTACACCGCCGCCCGGCCGTTCGCCTTTGCACCGGGTATATGGTAATAACGGTATCCTTTCGCCGCTGGCGGTTGCAGACGTGGTTCGGTGGCGAGCCGGGCCGGGGCCATGGACAGGGCCGACCGTCTAGCCCGGAGCTTGGAGTTGGAGAAGGCCTACGTGCACGACACTTACCAGGAGATGTATCAGCCCGCACACAAGACCAAACCGTGGCCGAAGGTGACGCAGTTCCTGCACGACTTGGAGCCCGGATCACTCGTGTGCGACATCGGTGAGTATAATATGTTACCCTCCTGCCTGTATGACCGACAAAATATATTATTATAACGATATAAACCATGCGGCTAAACATTTACTGTCAATAACGTAGACTGCACCAACATTTCGGGGTGAACGTGACAGTTTTTTCTTTCTGTACGCGGCTTTTATAACTTCCTATTTCGCGCACAATTGAAATTATATTATTTCAAGCACGATATCATATCACGATTTAGAGCCCCAAAACCGCATATGGTTGTGTACAGACGTACTGCGTGTTACAGGTTTTAAGCATAAGGTACCTACGTCGAATTATTTATAACGAAATACTTATCCACGTGCACCGAAATAAACCTATACTTACATTATGTGTGTACACGTACTTAGCCTATCGAGTTGAAAATTATCCAAATATTTCTATAATATTGAGATATTTCAAATTGTATTCCGCTTGAACGTTCGCCTGCGGTACGTTTCTAGTGACTGGAAAAATACCTACGCTCCGAACGACCTACAAACACTGTATTGTACATGTATACTTTATAGTTTAAGATTAATAGGATTAATAATAAATAAGCCGAGCTTGTTTTAACGATAAATTTAATTAACTTCTGAGATTAAATTAACTAGAATACTATGCAAATCCAAACATTTAAAAGTTATAATGTATTCATATACATATTATAGGATCACGCGAGTTGCTGTACTTATAGTGTCAAAAATATTAAATTTTCGAGCGACTTATCTTTATAAATAAAAGTTAAAATAAATAACTTTATTCGACAAACAAAAATATATTTTATTGTTAAATAAAATTAATTAATTTAAGTTACGAAGTATATAAAAAAACTCTTCGTAATTTACCTGTACAGGTGAAATTACTTCTACTATAGAAGTATCCCCGGACCTCTGTTGACGACTTTAGAATAATGGACACTTTTAATTTTTAACGCCTTACTGATAGGTATATCTATCATAGCCCATAAGTAAGATTTTACCATTTATACCTATGTGAATCGCTTACACGCACAACCATTGTTTATTATTAATACAGATTATAAATTGATTTTAATTTACAAATTGTTATTTTTAAATGTTATACAGTTAATAATCCACTATTTATACTGTTAATTTAAACTCACTACTTTTTTTTCGTGTTAGGTAGCTATTTAAAATAACAGATAAACTATAAAAATAATAATAATGAATACTATGATAACAGTAACATAACAAAATAAATACTAAACCAATATTATAATAATATGAGTACTATAACATTGTTAATATAAAATCACAATATGTTCTGATAGTGTTATGTTTGGTGGGTGGGTTATACAATTTGTATGTGTCTACAGACTTCGGCTTCGCCCAGTATTTGGCTACACCAATGGCCTTTTGATTCATCTGTATAAGATCCTTTTCGAAGTTCGAGTGTGTGCACTTTGGCCCCCACATAATTCGACTGGTATAGGGCAAAAGGGGCTAAGCGACATGGTGTATACTACGGGACAACCGACACTTAAAGCAATCGAACGCACGAGCGCTAGTGTTAATATGACAATTTAGTAATGAGATAATTGATTTTTATTTTTTGGTATTTTTCGGTATAAGCGACATATTAATTGATAAACGTATAGGGGCCAAGCACCTTTTTTAGGGTATAAGCGACACTGATGAAAATTGTTATCACCAAGCTACAAACACGTGGTGCTTGGCCCCCTCTATTATCGCTTATCACCTTTTATATTATTGATATTTTTATACCTAATAATAACATTTATAACATTATTAAAAAAAAATACATCGCAGATTTGAAAAAAAAGTAGGTATTTATTCAAAATAAAAATATTATTATTGCTATAATTAATAATTATAGCATAACATTTAAATAAGGGTACAAACGCCCTTCATCGCATATTAAAAACAAAAAAATAAGAGCTAAGCGCCAAAAAATGGTAAGTTTTAACAAAATTCATTGTGTTTAAAAATAACAAGACATTTCAGTATAACTAGTATCAAGCCATCAAGGTAGCATAAAATGAAATGAAAATATACAATAACCTCATTCCTGGAGCTTAATTAAACACCAAAGCCCCAACGCCAAAGTTGAGAACACATGAAAATTTTGTTTTTGCACTTCAAAAAGTTGTAAAAATGTCGCTTAGCCCCTTTTGCCTTATACCAGTCGAATATATAAGCTATTCTTAATTCTTTGTTTTGCCACATGAGCAAATCATGTTTTCATCATCCAGTAGGTTTTATTTATTCGTGTTGACTTTACAGCGACCTATATCAGTTTTAAATCTATTCAAAGATTTCCAAATCTGTCATTTGTTATTCTCATATTCCGGCGGTAAGGTTTCACTTAGTTATAACCTTTGGTTTTCGGAATATTAGTTTCCAGTTTATATTTCTTGTAGATCCACGTGGTGTTTTAATAAGCTTCATAGTTCCGTTTAAGAAATTTTGGGATTCGAAGTCCACGCATAAAGTGTCATAGAGTGTTTTTTTCCATTTGTATTCTTTCCCGATTTACTTGCACTGGTTGTCTAATGTGGGGTGAAACTATACCGGATAGTACATACGATTTTTCGATTACTACGTTTTTAAGCATCTCGTAATTATTTTATGCGCTTCATTCAGAGCTATGCCCAGTNTTCTCAAGCGTAAAATCGTTTTGTGATTCAAAGTACTTGTTTTCACATTGCGTAACACCCAGTTTTTTTTCATGAGCTGAAATTCATCACCACACTACACTCTTAAATTATTTTGAAGTTGTTCTTGTGTTATATAGTTTAGCACTCCACGCTGATCCTACTAGTTTTGTTAGTAGACCGTTTCTTTCGTTTATGTTACTTAATTGATTGGTCTAAAATCACAATTAGATATTTTTATTTCGACTATTTTGAAGTTCAATACCATGACCATCCCCTTGTATATGTAATTCTCGCTTACCAGCCAAGTACCAGCCGACTAGTTCGAGTTAGTACACTCATTTATGATAATCCATTTTTTGAAATCCTCCACCGGCTGGATTATAAACTTATCATTTATTCGTACAATTTATATGTATGGCAGACACCTCTATCCTAGGTTTCAATAGACCTACTATTTTGGATTCGCTTCATATTATTTTATTTATTGGACATTGAGTGTCATTTACATTTCACTACTAACTGCTAGCAAATTATAAGTTCGTCATAGTTAAATAACTATACATTTAAAAGAAGTACAATTTTCGCACGTTTATTTCATAGATACACTGAATCACCTGAATTAATTCATAGTTTAAAATTCTGGAATACCACATTAATATTACTTTGAGATAAATTATTCACAATTATTATTATAATATTTCATAATGAAATTCAATTTTATTTATTACCTAATACTTAATATCAAATTAACTAAAAGTTGTAAATGTTTTTTCCAATTTTAGGTTGTGGTACGGGAAAATATTTATCGACCAACCCGCATGTGTTCAAAGTAGGAGTTGACCGTTGCCTGAGGTTAACTGAAATAGCAAGAAGTCGAGACAGCGAAGTAAATATTTTACTTTTTCACTTTCCTTATAGAATTTACTGGATCATAGTTGTATTTAATTTTATTTCGAATCAATAAATGATAAATATTAAATACTAATTTGTCAATTTATTCAAATATAGGTATTGGTGTGTGACAATCTAACCTTACCATTCAAAGACTGTAGTTTAGATGCTGTATTATCTATAGCTGTTATTCATCATTTTTCGACAACAGAAAGACGTGTGTGTGCCTTACGAGAACTAGCCAGGGTACTTAGAATTGGTGGTCGTATAATAATTACAGTGTGGGCCATGGAACGACGCCATAGAAAAGTATAAAAAATAAATATTGAAAATTTAGATTATTGCATAAAATAATGTTTATTTTCGTAGTTTCAATCTCAAGACGTGCTAATGCCCTGGCACAAGCCCTGTAGAAATTTAGAAAGTGAATCAACAGAATTTTCCACAACCACAACCACGTCTGACGAGGAATACATTAGCACGAGAAAAAAATCTAATTCCGATTCGACAACGTTAGTATTCAATTATTAATATTGCATTTATTAAAGCCAGTACATAATATATCTAAATATTATTAATACATAGGAGTATCAAAATGTGTTGTGAAAGAAAAACTAAGCGTAAGGAACAATCAAATTGGAGAAAAGGGATAACGAGTTCCCCGAGTAGTTCTAGCTTATCGAGTCCAGGGACTGAAACTTGTTATAGCTTTGTTCGGAAAGCAATACAGGTTAATTGTTATTAAAATTATATTAAAATATCATGTTTGCGTTTAACATAGATTCGCTTTGTTACAGAAGCTTGCCGGTTCAACCAAGCGAGGTAAAGTGTCATCGAAACCTTGGTTCGTTGGTTCTTGGACATCACTTTATGGTACTGAGTTACCGTCAGTATTACGTTCGGATCCTGAAGGGTGTGAGACTTGTAACGAAGATGTACTAAATGTTCCTATAGAACTCAGACGAATGGAAGATTCACCAGACTCGATACCGCTATTCAATCGAACACCTACACACAAATCTAAGAGTTTAACCGATATCAAAAACACTACGGAAAAACGGATGGTAAGATCAAGGTCTAGTATACCGGAATTGGAAAAATCTATGCCATTAACTCATTCAAAACCAAAATTAGTGAAACAAAAACAATCGCTATGTGATGAGGATGCAGAAGAGGATAGAGATAAAGCTACTGATATGAAAGATTTGGTTAATAAGTTACCTCAATTCGACGTAGGCAGTGGTTCAAAAAGATACAGATATAAAAGTAATGAAATAAAACAAAGGTCGATGAATGAAGAACTTATGTCTGTAGAAAGGCTTAAGGAAAAAGAAATCGTTCAAAAGAACATTCAAAGACAAGCGTCGTTAAATGAAGAGCTTATGTATAGCACACGTACTATGGAATCTATTAAAGATACATTACAATTGCTCAAAACCGGATTCACGAAAACGTTTAAAAATCCATCCAGTCAGGTATCTGATAACATTAAAAGTGGACTTAGTAGAATGCTAGGGTATAAGGAAGGTTGTGAAGAAAAGGTTAGTGATGAAAAAAAAATAGAAATGCCCGTTCCCGCATTAGTGACAACAACATGTTGTGATGGACGAAGAAGTTCCCGTGAAGATGGTTCTTCGGAAGATTCGTCAAAAGACAGTTTACAGAGTGATGCTAGTGTTGATTCTGAAGACAGTCTGAGTAGTTTAGCGTCTGTTATATTTGTGAATGCGACCGGTGGATCTGATAAGACATGTTCACCGCCATTAGTGGAACAACAAGCACGAACGGCTCCGTGTACACCCACTGCTAAATCTCAAAGTCAATACAGATCGTCTTCACATCCTAACACGCCGAAAACAGCGCCTATTCACCCGTCACATTTTAGATTACCAACTAGGTTCAGCTCACAAAATGGAAATGAACCATATCAGTTAAATTTATCAACAGAACAACAAGTCGACGACATTTTAAAACCCATAAAATTATCACCTGTGAAAACAGCAATAGAAATGAAGCTCAAAAGAGAGCAAGAAAAAGATCAAGAACTAGAACGTAGAGATCATGTTTGCGAAGGTGGAGATCATAATGCACGGCCTAAAGAAAGAATTAGTGCAGAGAAGCTTAAACAAATTCAAGATCTTCTTTTAAACACTAAACCAGGTATGTTCCAATCAGATAAATTTTCGTCATTATTAACTTACAAAAAAAAATTGTTATATTTTTAGTAACTGGACGTAATCGTCTACCAAAAGCTGATAGAACCTTTTCTGGTTTACGCGGAAGACATTTTATTAAAACAGTTGAAGAAACATTTCATCCAGAAATAGACGATATAGATAGTGATGCTGAATCATCTTCCTCTGATTCTGTTAGCAGTGTTATAAGTGTAGTGGTGGAAGATGAACGCAAAATTACAGGTGATTAATGTTTATAAAAAACAGTATTTTATTTTAATAACAGTAATTTCATATTAATTTTTAAAGCAATTAATATTAGCCCTTCAAATAATTGTACTACAATCTGTGTCTTCGTCCCCTACTGTATTTTTGGCCTTAAAATATTTTGTTATGCAATAATCTTCACATCTAAGTAATAGCTTTCTACGGATTCTTTTTAATATCAGATCCTCTTAAACAACTGTTTCTATGAGTATTATAATTTTTCTCTATGCTATAGTCCAGAGTATGAGAGGTTTGTTATATAAATATTGAATATCACACATAAGTACATAACCTTGAACATGTTTGTAGATATCGAGTTTGATGAACCTTTTGAAACACCAGTAAAACCCGAAGATAAAATATCGACGGAACAAGGTAATTTAGAACAAATCTGTTGTTCAGATCCTGCTGTGATTAAAAAAGGTTCTAACCCTAAAGAATATCCAAGCCCTAAAGAAGATCCTTGTCCTACAGAAGATCCTATCCCTAAAGAAAATCTCAACCTTAAAGAAGATCCCAGCCCCATACGAGATTCCAGCCCTATAGGAGATCCCAGCCTGAAAGAAGATAGCAGTTCATTAGAAGATCCCAGCCCTAAAGAATATCCCATCCCGAAAGAAGATCCCAGCACGAAAGAAGATCCCAGCTCAAAAGAAGATACTACCCCAAAAGAAGATCCTAGCCCAAATGAAGAACATAACTCTAAAGAAGATCAACCAAATCATACTAACCGGTGGAGTCTGCAAGAACATCCAAACAAAGGAACGGCAGTTCGAAACAGTCCAAGTCTCGGTTCAATACCAAAACACAAGAGAGCCAGTAAGTGTTCTAAAGATGAGCTATCGGATTTGCCAGAAACGTGGGACGAGGAATGTCAAAAGCATCTTGTGGACTTTGCTGAAAGGTAAGTTTTTACGAATCCCTTCTACTCTATTTTATGTTAAAGTTATTGTTTTAAATGCAAATGATTTGTTATGTTGAAAATAAAGATTAAATAAAGAACTGCGGGCCGCAATAGGCATGGAGCCGGTAGAAGATCCAAAGAAGGCACGCGACGACGTAGTAGATACGCCAGAAAAGGTCGAGCTGATGCAATATTTGCATCAGCTGATGCGACCTGACGAAATATTGTCGGACCCGTCGTCTTCCGACGGACAGCCGGAGGACGAACCACACGACTACCATCGGATCGAGATACTAGCCGGGTCCGAAGCGCCCCGCCGGCCCAGCATTTCCGTCGAAACACAGGACTCTGTGGACAAGGTACTACGGAGCCGGGAGGGGTTCCGGTCGCGGCTCTACCGCAAGTCCGTGGACTCAGCGGAAGACCGTCATGCGTCCCTGGAATTGGAGTGCGACTCGAGGCGTGACACGGTTTCCAGCAGCCAGGTATCGCTGCTCCGGCCCGGTAACTCACTTGAATCCAACGACACTGCAGACACGCACACCACCACCCAGAGCACGACTTCGCTGACATCGTGGAGTGACTGCAGCAAGGATACGAGGTTCGCGGACCGCAGGCAGGCGCGGTGCGACGGCCGGTCATCGTCGGAGGAGACTGACCCTAGGCGGGCCGCCGTCCTGGTCCGACAACACGCAGCCGTCGAAACCCAAGAAACGTCCAAGAGTGACGACACGTGTAGCTTGTCCACCTCACAAGAATCGCTGTCCGAGCACGGTGGAGGGTCTATAACATTCCACAGGTACTATCACGTGTTCAGGGAAGGCGAACTCGACCAGCTGATCGAGAAACACGCTGATAATTTGCACATCATTTCTTCGTATTACGACCAATCAAATTGGTGCGTTATCGCCGAAAAGGTACAGGTGTGGACTATTTAGTGATGAGTTATAATAGTGATACGTTTAAAAAAATAAATATTTCAAGACTTTGGTTTTTAAAGTGATTTTAAAACCGTGTAGGTACTAGGTAGTTATTCTGTATTCAAACCTATTTGGTTTTAGGACATGTGAGTCCAATAATTACTTTTCAATATTGTTGTAGATTTGTGTACATTACAACTAGTCGTATATACATATATTATAATGTATTTGAATGACAACTGTACGGACGTACTTTTTTCATTTGATGTTGTGGTGTTTTTCCTAGCTCATTGTTTACATATAATATTTTATAATTATACATTTTCAATATCCAACTATATTATCCCTATAACTAAGTTACATAAGCTACTTAACTTCATCTAGATAGATATTATTAAGTCTAGTTTCCTTATTAAAAATTGAATAAACGTTGTATAAATAAATTATTTATTCGGGACTATATTGCGGATACAGATTTAAAATGCCACTATTGTATAACGTTGTATTGGTAGTTCTGTAGTTGACCATTTCGAGGGGATATAAGGACATGGCATCTTTTTCAACCAACTTTATGTGTCATGTAACATTAGGTTTTTTTTTTGATTCATTATAAGTCTTTGAGTTTATTGTTCCTTATAATGGCACCTTCTTTAAATAGCTAATGTTCCGCTACTGCAGTTAATTATTAGTTACCAATGTAGGCAATGATATTATAATATTTTTTGTCTTTTTCTAAAATACAATCTAATACGACGCGTAGTTTATAATGTTTATATAATATCTAATAAGTATGTAGACGAACCACGAACTTTAAACAATGTATTTTGTAGATTTTATAATTTATAACTACTTTTTTACGATTAATTAATTAGAACAATTTTGAAATTAAAAAAGTGCCTGTTTTAAATTTGTCTCAATTTTAAAGTACATAATAAAGTCACTGAAAATAAATATGAAATAATAATGCCAATGTTATTCAAAAATATAAATTATAATATAATATCTAATAATCATAAGATCATATCATAAATCAAATTATTACAGAAAACTTATTAATACTAATGAAACATTGGTACTGAACATAATATATTAAATCTAACAAACTAATAAAAGTGTTAATGTTAAATCAAAATATTTCCAAATAATTCAGAAAAATTATGAAATGTTTTAAATTTAATTTAATGTTTTATTTTTTCATCTAATCGTCAAAACAGGTGAAATGTGTACAAACAATTTCGAAATTATTGTATACCTGCCTAATATATTATATTAGGTGTCTTAAGGTGTCATACTTATTATAGTTTAATTTAAAATAAATTATAAACCAAACATTACAACACCATATTTTAAAATTAAATACGCCAGCACTTTCTATGAAATTAATTTCTTATAACAATCAACATTGTATACACATACAAATAAATTTAATTAGGTACTTATTAATTATTGTCAAAGTTTAATTGCACTTATTAAACAAATGAATTAATTATTTATAATTTAATTCTTTGACAAATGACTGAGAATAACGGTGTTATTAATTTATTGTTACTATCGTTATATTTTTAATTGTCAATAAAACGGCCTAAATCATATTAATAATAATCACAATCTACATGTTAAACATTTGAATAATCATTTTAATTTTATATCTGTCTTCCAGCTATATAAATATTCATTTTATTCTTATAGTGACAGTCATTACCTAAATAGTAAATGTTAACGTACAAAAAAATATGCAAGACAAATTTTTGATCGTTTTAAATATTTTGTGCCTATTATATAGTTTGAGTGATGTTATTGTGAATTGAATATCGGCTCTTTAATTCAGACTTATACTGCCATTAATTTATAGTTGTTACTAAATGTAAGATATAAATATATACTATGACTAATAATTATTACGATATTATAATTAAATATAAATATAGGAATATAAGAATATAGGTATAGTAGATACAGGATGTATTAGTCATTCGATAAAAATAAAACAACAATTATATACTTAGTTAACTGTATAGTTTAAACATTGTACTTGAATTATTACATGTTAAGAGTACATGGTATAAATGTTTGAATTTTATTTCGAACATAATCTTATTCTCAAAACTTTTCTTTATTAATTGTTTATCTACTGTGATTACAACTTAGGATTATTAATTTAATAATATATTTATTATTATTATTATTATTATTATTATTATTAATATTAATATCTATATGTGAACGAATTTATACCTTTGGACTGCATTTTAACTTTAAATCTATTGTAATATTGAATCATGTTTTTAATATACAATAAACTAAAAGATAAAACGTACCGTGTCTTTGCATTTTTTCTTCTTTATAGTGTCCCTAGTAATTATTGATTTATTTTCTTACTAAACGAATAAATTATTAATAATCAACCTATTTAACCTTATATTTTGCATGCAATTGTGTCGAACCTTTAAAACTTACAGAGAACTGTTCGCTCCAAATGAGTAGGTACATTTATTGAAATATTATTTAAAAAACTAAAGTAGAATAATAAATTAATAAATGTATGGAGCAATACTATAATATGCTTCTTTACATCCAATTATTTCTCTTTAATAATTAATAATTTATATTTTATTTTACTATAAATTATCTGTCATCTGGTTTTAACTTTATTACTTGACTATTTACAGTACAGACTATACATGTATACAGTATATTAGTTTTGAGTGGTAATCAATAATAAAAAAAAATAATTGATATTGTCTAATCGTTAATTAGAAAGCAAGCTATTAAGTATATTAATCTAATTATAACAATTTCGTAACTTGGACTCGTGTATTACTGCTATGACTCTACGAGTTTCTAACTTATAACTTATAACTTTTAAGTGTCGTTTGTCTGTGCAATATGTATGGTACTATAGTGTTTATAAAATACTCTGTGTTTGGTAAAGACATGTTATAGTAATCACGTATCAGTAATCAGTTATTTACATTACTCTTTAGTCGTTACTGTAGTTTATATAACCATAATTGATGTCATAATATAAAATATTAATTCATAAAATGCTTATTAAAAAATCAATTTTATAATGAAATTACTTTTTTATTCATATGACACTGTTCATATTATGTCACGTTTAATGAATAATGAATTTAAAGGTATCTTAAGCCCTTAAGGCTTTTATGTTTGTTCATATTTTGTTCCCGAAAAAAGTCGGGTTATACTCGTATACATGTAGCTTGTATAATTGTATTAAATATATTATGTTACTGTAAACTTAATTTTATTAACTTTTAATTATATTTTTTAGGTAATATACATTTTTACTTTATAGTTATAACACAATATACTTTGTATAGGTATTAAATAATTAAATTTATTTATTTATATACCTTGTAAAATTATTTAGGGAAGTTTATGAACCACTACCTACTAAATTCTATATGGAAGGCAGCTCGTACATAATTATCAACTTATCTCATTATTAGAGGCAACTAGAGTAAATTATCCTTTTTATTTACTATAATGATGTGAGATAATTCTTATACTTTTGGAGGCAACTAGTATACGCAGTGTAATTTAAAGTAAATTCTCTTTTTCATAATACATTAGTTATATTACTTATTTCAATGATAAGTAGGCACAGCATTATAATTATCAGAAAACCAAACGCCGGGGCCGATGGGTAGTTTTCAGAATGCATCCTTGTTTTTCATGTTTTCTATAATTATTGTTCTCGTTCAAACTACTCACTTATAGTTTGTATACCGAGACTCGATCTTAATAATATCTGTTCATTATAGATCCATATAGAAACGATGAACGGATTTTTAAATAAACTTATTTATATCGTATATATAAAATAAAATTAACATTGATACACATTACATTACTACCTACTACATGCATAATATTAATACACTAAATTATTAAAAATTAAGGATTTTATAACTTTTTCAAATTTAGTAAAGTAAATTTTTAACACAAGGTCCTTAAATTTTTTATTTAAATAATTCATTGAATTATCCTGAACTTTTTATGGTGACTGGCATGATATGTGGCTAGGTAGCTATAATATTAAGTAGCATTATTAAAGGAGTAATATATAGGCATTGTAAATACATTTAATCTGTTATTGCTATATTTTGTGCTCAGACGATTATTGTTCATTAGTCATTTATAACTATGTATAGCTATAGTACATACGTATGGGTGTGACTGCGTGAAGGTGCTATAATATACAAGTATTATCCACTTTGCGATTTGCGCTTTATTTTCTAATTTTATTTAGTCTGTAGTGTATAATTATCCATTTAATGCCATGTAATAACATTTAAGTAACTATAATATATAGTTAATATGTAAATACTACGTAGTTGGACCAAGATTAAAAATCGTTTTAAATAGTTAATACCACGGTCTTAGACAATCTTCTAAATAGTGGCAGATTTCACAAAACAAAATAAGAACAATCGCGGACTGCAGAGCCTTCGCCAATGTGTGCCTCTGTACTCAATCCCTCACATTTTTTTAAACTAAGTTTATTAAAAATAGAACAGGGAATTATTCAATCAAGAAATTCGTTTAACCAAACCGGTGTGAAAAAATTGAGTTGGGATGTCACTGATGTGGTTATTATCCCATGGAGTACGTTTTTTTAATCACTGATTTGGACTAACTAATTTCTAGTATCTAATCATTACAGAATTTATGCGTCATGTACTTGACATGTAGTCATGAGTGTATTGACTTTGATAATAATTATTAACTAATAACTATATCTAAACATAATAAAACATTCTAAAAGCCTACCCGCATATTCATAATCTATGAACACGTATTTATTTTTAATGAATATCGTCAACGATTATAAATATTACAATTTATTTGTGACAGATAATAATTTACCGTAGGAACACAGAAGCTTAATTACAATAAAGGTCATTAGCCTATAAACTTGTCTACATTTTTTTTTTTTAATTACAATTTCTTTCTATTGCCTTAAATGTATGTCTATGAATGTATTAATTGTACAATCATGAGTAGTTTTTTATATTCTGTTGCGTGTACTCACTACTCGCACGCTATAAGGCCTATACGTGTATACGCGATAAGTAGTAGAAATAGTGCTTTGACGATTTTCAACTTCTGATAGAAAATAGGATTTAGTTAGTATTTTAGAGAGGTTAAAATTGAAAAATGCCCAGCACTTTTCAAAAACGTTATTAAAAACGAAAAAAAATTAACAAAAAATGGGAAATTTTAAGCAAAACCAGTTTTTGACAAAATTGATTTTGTTTTTTTTTTGTTGTAACTCAAAAACAATAACCGTCGATAGTGGAAATTTTCACCAAATGTTTATATTAGCATTTTCTGTACATAATTAAGTTTTCAACAAATTATTTTGGCTCATTTTAAGGTATTTGAAATGTTCAATGTTTATATATTTTTTTTCTTTAAATATCGATAAAAATTTTTAACAAAATGACAATTAATTTAAGATTCCCCATAAGTTGTTATTGTGTTGAAATATATTAAAGATACATAGGCAAAATTTTTTAGAAGCATTTGAGATTCATAATTAGTTCAAACTTATCAACATTTTGAAAATGTTCCATATTGTTTTGTAATTAAAAGTTTATAAAATATTTAATTTGTAAAGCTAAAGACTAAAAATTTAAATCAAGGTTTCTTATAAGTAATTAATACTGTGACCAACAAATCTAAAAAAAATATACAAACCTAGTTTTTTTTTTTTTTTAAGACATTTTTTTTTTTTTAAATTTGGGTAAACTTAGAAATGACAACAAAGAATAGCAATTTTAGTTATTTTGTTGTAATTTAAAATTGTTTTTTGCAGGTGCTTGAAACTTTTAAAAATTATTACTATATTGTATACACACAATGGCATATTCAAATTCAAATCAATTCAACTCTATTAATATAACAAAAAAAATATTGGGGGACGAGGTGACCGAGTGGTCTAACTCTTCCGCTGCGACGCAGCCGGTCGCGGTTCGATCCTCGGCCACCGGGCGACATTTTTCTCCGGACAAGTCGCGGTGACCGGAGAGCAAGTGCTGCCATCCCCCACCCCCGGGGCATGGCAGAAACCTACGGGTGCCCCATTCGAAATTCTGCCAAAACAAACACACACGTGTTCCCCCCTACCGTTCCAAAAACCTACAAACCATCAATACAAAAACCTACAGTACCTACTAATAGCTAATGGCCGCCACAGTTGCCGGGCTCAGGATCTATTAAAAAAAAAAAAAAAATTATTTCAATAGTAATAATATTCTAAAATATGTTTAGTAAATTAGGTTGACATTAGTCTTCGCTCAGAATCGTTTTTCGTATCCATTGATTCTTTATCATTGAACTCAAATTTAACACATTCCACTACAGCCACCCACTTGACAGCTACTGTACAACAGGGTGGTACCCAAACCTGTCCACATTTTTTGATTGGTCTTAATCATTGTTTCCTAAAAATTCTTTTTAAATATGAATATTTTTATAAAGCTTTACTCGATAACATTTTGAAAGAATTTATATAGAATTTCCTTATTGATCGTCGATATTTGTTATTTAATTTAATTCTTATGTAATTTAACTAAAAATATTTATTAAAAAACGAAAATGTTGCTATTTATTTCGAGTAATATTATGCTATTGCCCATGGGCTCTTTGCGGACTGTGCTTTTTCCTTAAATCCAAAGCATCGTTTCTATAGAATATTGTAGCGAGCTGTGACTATGTTTTACATATTATAAATAATCATTCCAGTAAATCCCTCCAGTATACTCCGGCCCACGAGAGAACGACCGTAATCCGCGCATCGATACTGAACGTTGCGAGCGCTGTCAACCTGATTTTCTCCCACCATAGTTCTATTCCCACTACTCGGCGGCGTGTATACACTATACAGCGGTTCATAAAAACACATAGCAAATACATTGCGTCGCCGCGCTAGTTCCATTGTGTATTATAATACAAGTGGTATTTTTTGTTATAAACATAATAAATAATCATAGATATTATTGATTAAATGAAGAACCTAAAATAATAAACTGGGAGAGCATTGCTACATTTTTTCCACCGATATTATAACACATTTAAAATCTACGTAAATAATAAAAAAAATACCAGCATTTTTTTTTATGTGATATGATTATCTACTTTTTTACTAAATACCATAATTTATTGATTATCATTGTTTTTAATATTTTAACATTTATTGATTAGGCACATGCCTGTTTATAACTAAACCAAATGAAAAATATATTTTAAAAAAATTTATTTTATTACTCTACTTTGTATACATGTTATATTTGGTAAGCGGAAAAAAAATCCAATGGAAAAAAAACCCAAAAATTAAAAAAACCCACGGAAAAAAAACCCACGAAAATAAAAGTGTGTTTTATATTATTTTGTTGATTAACTCAAATACTTCAGTCGCGTTTCAGCTGTTGTAGCGATCGGTTGTTCTTTCCGTCACAGTTATCGCAGCATATTATCGTTAGTCGTTACCAATTCGTTAGTGTAATAAAGTACCTATAAATGTCGTAGTCTTCGGGCGGCGACCTGCACGCGGGTAAATCACCTGCTCCAAATAAAATCAAGCCTTCCTTGACTTCTAACCATACATCGGATTCAAGTTTCACCTCCGTCATCTCAAAAAAAAATTTACGTAAGTCAAAATCCAATTTGCTTACACCCCCGTCCCCCGGTCTTCAACAGATTATAAATAATACGCCAATTTTAAATACTTCACAATCAGACTTCAATTATATTACGGACAATAATTCGTCGGCCGACCCGGTCATTAACGATGGTTTATCTACTGATAACTTTAATGACTCTACATCAAATTCCGTACCGTACGTTAATTCTACACAAATAAACACTTATATACACTCCACTGATTTACCAAATGATATAAATATGTCGTCTCAATGTATACAACAGAGTACAGACCTTCTCACCTGATTATAACGGCCCGGTCGTGATTCTTGTCGAATGCATTGATTTGAACAAAAATTTGGGAAACTGGCACCCTATTAAGGCAGCCAAATTTTTCTCTACTCATTTTACCGGTATAACAAATATCAAGTCCGCTGGTTCAAAAAAAATCAAAATTAGTTTTGATTCGATAACGAAAGCCAATCTTTGTTTGACTTCAGACGTTTTGTTGGAATGTGGCTTCACAGCTACTATCCCATCGAATCTTATATTCTCTTTTGGCATTATAAGATTAGATTCCGAAGTTTAGGAGGACGATTTTTTGGACGGAGTCCAATCATGTTTCCCCATCGTAAGCTTCAAACGCATTTCTGTTAAAAAAGATGGCAACATGGTTGCAACACGCATCGTTGAACTCAAGTTTTTGTCCCCTAAATTACCTCAACACATCTCAATCTATAACATGATTTTCGACGTCAAACCCAGTATTCGCTCTCCTAATCAATGCAATCGTTGCCTTCGATACGGTCACACTCAAAAGTTCTGTCGAAGTGACCCTAGATGCAGTCATTGCGGTATTTCCAAACATTCTATTTCTGAATGTCCCACCGTTCATGCCACAGATCCAAGCTGCATTTTCTATAAACTTCCTCACCTCGCCACAGACCGTAGCTGTAAAGAATGGTCAACCCAAAAGGATATTAAAAAAATCATGGCTACAGAAAACATTTCCTTCAAAGACGCTATAGATTTTAAGAAAAATAAATGTTATTCTACTGCAAATACTTTTTCTGACGTTGTAAAAAGCCAGCCTCCAATCTCCGAAATTCTTAAACCCAACTCCACTCTCCGCGAAGATAGCTTCCCTAGTCTACACGATAATCATCATTTTTTCAATTCCGGTAAACAAAAACTTAAAGCTCGACCCTCTTATAACAAAAAATATAATTACTCGGCATTTGAAAACCAATCTCACTCACCTAATGGTAATTACTTAAATATACTCCCTAACTTAGAATCCTCTCCTGTAATTAACTCAGGAGATTTATCATGGGTTCAATCTCTTTCCCATAAACTATCTGAAACTCTTATTAATTCTCCTTCATTATCTACCCCTTTCTCCTCCACCTCCCTTCAGTCCCTAATTGAATCTTCCATATATTCTCTTCTCAATACTCCTTTCTATAATCTCACTGCATAATTTATACCTCACTGCAGTTCATTGCGACTCCTCAAATTTTAATTATATTTTATATTATAAAAAAAAAAAAAAAAATAATAGGATGCCGATTGCTAATAATATTAATCCTTTAAACTACGTTAATATAATTCAGTGGAATGTGAGAAGCCTCCCTGCTCGCCTTCCATCTCTACAAAACTTACTTAGTTATCATAAATGCTCTATTGCCCTTCTTTCCGAAACTTGGCTCCTACCTTCACGTTCCCTCTCTATCCCAAATTTCAAAATCTACAGATCAGATCGCTCAGATGGTTATGGTGGCGTAGCCGTAGCTATTCACAGTTCCCTTAAATCCAAACTTATTCTCACTGATAATATCACCAGAAATAGATTTACTAATCTAAAAATTGATATCATAGGTGTCGAGGTCGTTTTATCTGATTCGTCTCCCCCTTTAAAGGTATGGTCCTATTATCTTCCCAGCAGCTCCAGTATTCCCGTTAATCTATGGCAAGATTTATTCTCAATTGTTACCCAAAATACCCTACTCTGCGGCGATTTCAATGCTTTTCATCCTGCCTGGGGTTCGGACTTGTCTTCC